GATGTTCTGCTTCACAGTCGTGGAGCGCTCCGCTTCTCTGCCTCACAGTCGTGATGCGCTTCTCTTCCTGCCTGTCCGTGCGCAGCTCTCTCTGCGCTACCTCCTATTTGCTACATTGTGTACCAAGTATTTTCCTCTGCACCCGGTTTGCCGGGACTGCGTGTCCTGTACACCTACCCTCGTAGAGGACCGCCCCATAGGGGCTGGAATGTGGTTCGCATCGCATCGCATCGCTTCCCACTCCCCCCTCCTCGCCCCCCTCCCCGCTCCCTCCCCGACCCCCCCGCCCCCCTCCCCGACCCTCCCCCCCTTTTCCCCTCCCCCTCCCCCTCGAACCAGCCTCGAACTTTTCCATCCCTGAGATCGGCAAGCCCAAAGGCGACGACAATCTCTCAGGAGTGTGCCCTCAGAGACGGACGGAATCCTCAGGATCGGCATCGAGATGAAGCGATGCCCAACATAGGGAGGGGGATATGTTCCAGGCTGGTGCCCCCCCCCTCCTCCATATTTGATCCTCACTGGTCAGGGAAGAAGCCTGTGAATGAAAAGGGTGGCTGCTGGGCCCAGTCGTGTCTGGGTTCCCTGGGGCTCCCTGGTCTTACTTCCTTGATAGGGGGTCCCCGGTCTTGCTGTCTTGCTACCCTGCAAGAACGTTGGGTCCCCTGGCCTTGCTCCTTACTTTGGCAACTCCGATTCCCCTGTCTTGTCCCTCGGGTTCCGCAGCATTGCAAACAAATGCCAAAAATGCAAAGCAATATCTCTCCATCCACAGCAATGTCAACCAGTGCCAAGCAATGGCAAGACATATCGAGCAATGCCTAGCAAACCGAAGCAATGCAAGACAAAAACAAGGAATGCCAAACAACGCCAAACACTGTGCCAAACCAGACGATCCGCGAAGCCGTTTGTAGCAAACGCACCCAGAGAAGGACTCAAACAAGGCAAGGCTGTTTCGTTAACGCCGATTCTCGGGTCCGGGTGGATTTTTTCCTCCCTTGACCCCCTCCCCCGGGCCGCCTCGACCCGCCTCGACCGCGCGCTCCCCTGGTGGGCGCGTTGTCCACCACCACCACCACCATCAGTTGAAGGGGGGAAGGAGGAGGAGGAGGAGGAGGAGGAGGAGGAGGAGGAGGAGGAGGAGGAGGAGGAGGAGGAGGAGGAGGAGGAGGAGGAGGAGAGGGACCCCCTCCCGCCCCAACTTCTGGTCGTGGGGGTGGTGGACGACGGGCCCCCCCCCTCCCCCTGGCCATCGCTCGGACGTCCATTCCCTGTGTTTTTGCTCGGTTTCGTGCGTGGTTTTTTCGCCAAATCATCAAGGATGCTCCTCCATGGTCCTCGCCGAAGGAAAAATGCACACGTCCGAGCGATGCCAAGCCCCCGGGCCGCCAGGCCGCCTCGCCTCGGCCGCCTCGGGCGGGGGGGCCCCCTCGAGGGCGCCGCTCGGCCGCCCCGCCCTGGCGGGTCGCGCGGCGGGGGGCGCGGTGCCGCAGCGGGGGCAGGCAGGCAGGCGGGCGCCCTCCTGTCGGGGATGGACAGGCCCCCCTTTCAGCAAAACGTGGCTTGGTGAAAACGACCCGAGGCCCACACCTGGCGGGCGCCAGCCTGGAAAAGAGCGGCCACGGCGCCCCCTCGAGAGCTGAACACGGACAGTTCACGAGTCGGCGTGTCACTGTTGGGGGTTCTGTCCACCCTCGACTCCCGTCGGCCCAGGGGCTGGCGCGGGGCGGGGGCGGGGGGCGCCGCGGTGCCGCAGCACGCCGTGCCAAGCTCACCGGGAGGGCAGAAGCTCCGCCCCGAGGAGAAAGCCCCCCCGACGCGCGAGGCCGTTTCGCAAACGCACCCGGAGAAGCAGTCCAACAGGGCAGGGCTGTTTGGTCAACGCCCAGGGCCGTGTAGTCAACGCCGGATTGTCCGGCCCGGGTGGTTTTTCCTCCCTCGACTTATGCTGCTCCCATCGTACTTTCGGGAGCGGCCAAGAGGGGGGTGTCCAAGAGGGGGGGGTGCAAATCATGACTGGCGGCATGTGCGCGGCCCAGCGGGGGGGGGGGCAAGGGACGTAATGAAATAAGAAGAGGCGCCATGAAATCTGGGGAACAATCATGGCCCCCGCCATCATATCCTCCCCCCTAGTCATCACCCCCCTCTTTGCCGCCCCCGATACTTGAGGACCACATTCCAGAAATAGCTTCGGGCACCAGGAAACGTGTAGAGTGTGGAAAGAGTGTCGGGCGAGTCTCCCGGGGTTCGACGCGTGAAAACCCTCGAGATTCGGTACTTGTTTTTCCCCGGGTGCTCGAAATTCTTTCCGGTGATCAAGGCTGACCAAGGGCTCCCAACTTCGCGCTTCGCGCTGCGCGAAGTGCGAATAACTTCGCGCTCTCGCGCCGCCTCCCAGGGGAGAGGAGGAGGATGAGGAGGAATCGGAGCCGAACCGCGAAGCGCGAATACCTTCGCGCCCTCGAGGGCGCCCTTGCTAACGCAGGTTTGAACATCATAATGCTAAGCCCCGCGAAGGCCTCTTCCAGACGGCCCCACGCGTCTGCGTCGGCAGCGAGAGCCAGCAAAATCCGGGCCGCCCCGCGTCGAAGTCGGAAGCATGGGCTCGCAAAATCGGAAGCAGGATGGCCGAAGCGAGGGAAGGTAGGTGAACGTTTTCATATTCGGCGTTTCGACATTGGGCGGGCAGAGGCTTCCTAGATAGGGTCTGAGTAGATGGGGTCGGAGCGTCGCGCAACATCGCCATTGCATCGGCGATGCATCGGCGACCTCGGCGATGCATCGGTGACGTCGGCGTGGGGAAACGCGGGCTCCACATCGAGGCGCATCGTCGACGCGTCGGCGATGCGGCTCGATCCTCTGACCTCATCTACTCGGGCCCCATCTATGCGGCCTAGAGCGGAAGGCGGGGGGGGTGTCTGGCTCTGGACCTCTGCTTCATGCGACTGTTTGCAGCAGTGCGTCCTCAGGGGATGCCCCACCTCAAGCAGGCGCCAAACACAGCCCGAGGGCCCGCGCCGATCGGCAAGACAGGGACTCGGAAAACGACCACGAGAAGGACCCCCACCTCTCGCCGTTTTCGGTTGCCGTGGGGTACCCCCTAGTAGCGTCCAGAGGCCTCCCAGATGTGGTCAAAGTAGATGGGGTCGGAGGATCGCGGCACACCACCGATGCATCACCGAATCAACGACGATGCATCGACGATGCATCGGCGACGTCGGCGATGCGTCAGCGACGTCGGCGTGGAGAAAATATGGCTCCACATCGAGCCGCATCGCCGATGCATCGGCGATGCGGAGCGATCCTCCGACCCCCTCTACTCCGACCCCATCTAGGAGGCCTAAAGTTAAGTCGGGCCTGTCCCCCTACATGGGGATTTTCGACGAAAAATAGAACATGCTAAAACTATTCCAAAAAGGTCAAACGATACCCCAAAAATAGTCCCCATACTAGTTTTGGGCTATGTTTTGATTGTTTTTCTGGTATGTTTTATTTTTCCTCGAAAATCCCCCTGTAGGGGAACAGGCCCGACTTCAGCCTAGAGCGTCTCCACCGAGCAGGGGCCGACGGACTGGAGAGCGAGGATTACCAGCCTGGAACAGATCCCTATCCCTATGCTGGGCATCTCCTCATCACGATGCCAATATCAGGGAATCCCTTATTCTTTGAGGGCGCATCCCTAAGATACAGAAGGGGCGTTGACCTAAGGAACCCCAAATGAGGAACGAGGCCACTTTTTCCCATGCGTTTGACTTCGACGTCCCATCGAAATACTGAGCAAAACCAGAGGCGAACTGCAAAACAGCTGAGGAACACCGAGCCCCCCTCCCCAACGGAGAGGGTTCCTTCCTCAGTGCCCCGACTGTATTGTCACCGCCTCTCGGCGTGCCAATCCCAGGGATGGGGACGAGCTCGAGGCTGGCAGGATGGAGACGGGGGAGCGCGCGCGGGGCGGGGGGGCCCGGGGAGGAGGCCGAGGGCGAGGGCGGGGCGAAGGCCGGGGGGGGGGAGGCGGCGCGGCGGAGGGCGGCGGAGGGGCGGCGGAGGGCGCGGCGGAGGGGCGGCGAGGAGCAGGGCGGGGAGGAGGGAAGGGGACGGGCGGGAGGAGGGCAGAGGACGAGCTCCGGTGGGGATGGGTCGAGAGGGCGAGGGAGCAGGGCGGGGAGGGGCGGCGAGGAGGGCGAGGAGGGGAGGGGGCGGCGAGGAGCAGGGCGGGGGGGGGGGAAAGGAACGGGCGGGAGGGGGAAAGGAACGAGCGGGAGTCGGACGAAGCCAGGGCACCAGGCCAGGAGGGCAGAGGAGTCGGACGAAGCCAGGGTTAAGTCGGGCCTGTCCTCCTACAGGGGGGCTTTCGACGAAAAATGAAACATACCCCCAAAAACACTCAAAAAATAGTACAAAAATAGTCTGGGGACTATTGTTGGTGTATTTGTTGATCTTTTTGGAATATCTTTAATGTATTTTTTCGTAGAAAATCCCCGTGTAGAGAGGAACAGGCCCGACTTAAAGCCAGGGCGAGGTCGGATTCCGGTGGGGATACATCGAGCGAGCATCTACCAGGAAGCCCCAAGAGGCCTCCAAGAGGTTCCCGAGAGGCCCCAAGAGGCTCCCAAGAGGCCCCCAAACTGTCCGACGGGAGACCCCCGAGAGCGCTTCGACGAGACCCCGAGAAGCATCCATGAGGACTCTGACCCACGTCAGCGTCGTCGTCGTCGTCGTCGTCGTCGTCGTCGCCAACGCCGCTGTTGTCATCGTTCCCCTTCAGGGTCGTCGGCGCTGGCCGTGAGGCCTTCCAGATCACCCCTCCCCAACTCGACGATCCAAGTTTGGGGTTGGGCGGGATATGGGTACCACATGTGTTTTTTCCATGTTCCCCGACGCCCCCCCCAACTGGGAATGGAGGGCAAATTGAGGCCTTCGGGTTGGGTTGGGGTGATTGGTGGGTGGTGGTCGAGGATTCCTGAGATCTGGCGGCTCAAGTGGATGTCTCGGGCGCCGCGGCCTTCTCAGAGTGCTCCGGAGCGGATAGATACTCGTCCTGGCCCAGTCCGCAGGAGGGGGGCGGAGCTGCCGTGCCTGCGCCCAGGACGACGGGCGCGCGACGTCAGAGGTCCCCCGGCCGTGCGCCGCGCGCCCCAGCCTACGGCGCCCGTGCCCCCCTTTGCCTGCCGCCCTTCCTTCCTTCCTCGTCCGTGTCGCCAGCCTCCTCCTCCTCCACCTCCTCCTCCTCCTCTTCCTCCTCCTCCTCCTCCTCCTCCTCCTCCTCATCTTCCTCCTGTCCTCCTCCTCTCTCCTCCTACCTCCTTCCTGATCCTCCTCCTCCTCCTCCTCCTCCTCCTCCTACCTCCTCCTCGAACCTTCTTTTTGTTCATCCTCGGTCCTTCCCTTTTCCGCCTCCGCATCAGCTGTCGTCCTCCCTTCTCGTCCTCGTCCAAGTCCTCGTCCTCGTCCTCCTCCCCCTCGTAATCGTGCTCCTCATCATCCGTCTCGCTCTCCTCCTCGGCCACTCCTTCTCCTCATCCTCCGCCTCCTCCTCCTCCTCCTCCTCCTCCTCCTCCTCCTCCTCCTCCTCCTCCTCCTCCTCTGTCTCACCCTCTTCATCCTTCCCTCTTCTTCTTCTTCCTCCTCCATCCATCCTCGTCGCACTCCTCCTTTTCCTGCACCTCCTCCTCCTCCTCCTCCTCCTCCTCCTATTCCTCGTTCTGTTCTTGAAAGCAAATTGTTTGGGAGGGCGGGAATTCCAGTTTGAAGGGCATCGGTGAGACTTCACGAGCAGTTAGACATGTTATTTTTGATTCGTCGCCCCTGTCGGACTGACACAGAATCGTCGGGCGCACAGCTGTGCTCAGGGCCCAGCACTTGCCCGAAAGCAGATGCGAGCAGGTTCACAACCTTTCCTCACCGAGGCAAGCTGCTATACCTCTTTTTCGTGCTCCGTTTCCCAATGTGGTGGGCTTGTTTTCCACCACCACCACCACCCTAAGTAGGAGGGGGAGGGGGTCCTCCTCCTCCTCCGTTTCTTCCTCCTCCTGTTCTTCCACCTCCTTCCCCCCTCCAACTTAGGGTGGTGGTGGAAAACAAGCCCATCGCTATGAGCCTTTGACTTGGCGCCAAGCCGGCCTCGCAGGAGCTGCCAACGAGGACCGAAAGGGGGGGGGAGGCTCCACGCTCCCGAGGCCGCGATCCCTCTTTACAAGAAGGTTGGTCCGCGCTGCCGGGCTTCCACGACGTGCCCAAGTTGGCAACCAAGGCCGCCAGGATGGCCCACGTGTGCCTCGGAGATGGCCCCGGGGCGGCCGAAAATGGTCTCGCGGTGGCCCAAGATGCCCGCAAGAAGGCCGAAAGGACCTCAAGAGGACCTCCAACACAGGGCCGGAAGACGCCGACATTCTTGATTCCCCGTTCGTGTCTGAATGATTTTCGCATTCTCGCCTTTTCGGGCTCCCGTCGTCAACTCAAGACGGACCAGGCAACTTCCACGATGGTTCTCAGACTGCCAAACAGGCCCCCACGAGTGTCCAAAGATGGCCCAAGATGATCCGACGAGGGCCCAACAATTATCCAAAACGGCCCCAAGATGGCCGAACAGGGCCTCGCGTGAGAAGGCCCTTCGACTGCCCAAGACTGCGCCAAGACGGCCACTTGATGGCCCCCAGGCACCCGCCATAAGTAGAAGAAGAAAAAACCACATGAACATTGACTTTGGGCGCTCCGCGCGGATTTCTTGGATTCGCGCTGGACCCCCCTTCCTGGCGCGCGGAGCGCTCCAGGGGCGGCGACAGAGGCGACGCTGGGGGCCCTGGGCGCGGATGCAAGAAATGCGCGCGGAGCGCCAACAGTTTATGTTTGTAGCGTTTTTCTTCCTCGAATAAGGGCAGCAGGGCCCCAGGATGGCCCAAGAGAGCCCCAAGACGGCCCAAAAGGGCCCCCAGGCGGCCCCAATGAACCCTGAAGACTGCCTCACAGGAGGCCTAGGCAGCCACAATACGGCCCAAGCGAGATACACCAGAGCTCCTCAAATAGTGAAGACGAACGGTTTCACATGGGAGGGCATTCCTCCTCCTCCTCCTCCTCCAGCTGCTCCTCCTCCTCCTCCTCCTGCTGATCATCCTCGTCCTCCTCCTGCTCCTACTCCTCCTCCTCCTCGTTGTCGTCGTCGGCATCAGCATCAGCATCAGCATCAGCATCAGCATCAGCACCAGCACCAGCACCAGCATCAGCATCAACATCATCATCATCATCATCATCATCATCATCATCATCATCATCATCATCATCATCATCATCAGCATCTTCATCATCAGCATCACAATCAGTATCATTATTAGCAACATCATCATGTTCACCATCATCGTAATCGTCATCGTCATCATCATCCTCATCACCAGCATCATCATCAACATCGTCATCATCATCATCATCACCGTCATCGTCGTCATCATCAGCGTCAGCATCAGCATCAGCACCAACATCATCAGCATAATCAACGCACTCATCATCATCATCATCATCATCATCATCATCATCATCATCATCATCATCATCATCATCATCATCATCATCATCATCATCATCCTCGTTATCATGAGTCTCACCAGCATCGTCAGCAGCAGCAACATCATCATCAGCATCAGCAGCATCATCATCATCATCATCATCATCATCATTACCAGTATCAGTACGCATCATCAACATTAATTATCATCAGCATCATCATCATCATCAACATCGTGATCATCATCGCTAACATCATCACAACCACAATCAGTATCGTCGCCGCCGCCATCATCATCATCATCATCATCATCATCAGCAGCAGCATCCCCAACATCAACATCATCATACTCATCATCACCATATCATCATCATAATCTGCATCATGCGCAGCACCAGTATCAGCATCAACATCAGCATCATCATCGTCGTTGGCAATAACGAGGACGACGCCATCGTCATCGTACTCGTCATTCTCACTATCACCATCATACGTCATCGTCATCGTCATCGTGATCACCATCACCATGACCGTCACCAGCGCCATTGTCATCGGCACCAGCATCACCATCAACATCATCACCATCACCAACACAACCACCACATCCATCGTCATCATCACCACCATCGCCGTCATTACTATCATCATCATACCCATCAACATCATCATAAAAAGCATCATCACCATCATCACCGTCACCATGAGCATAAGCATCATCATCATGAACATCAGCATCACCATCATTATCAACATCCTCATCCTCAACATCGTCATGATCATGATCATGATCCTCACCCTCATCACCATCACCATCAACATCATCATGATCATGACCAGGATGAGCATTATCGTCGTCGTCATCTTCATCATTATCATTCGCATGATCAACATCGCCATCGCCATTGTCATAATCACGGCTCTCCCAAACCTGGAAGCACGAGGTGACACACGTGACGGCCTCCCGTGCCAACTCGAACAATCGCCACCCAGAATGCTGGGCTGGCACGGTGGCGGGACTTGCCGCAGGCAGCTGGATATCCGCCGCCCCCTGTCGATTCATCGCAGGGGTGCCTGGCGTGCTGGATCCTCTCGGTTTTGGTTATGGTTCTTTTCCAACAAAACTCCCCCTGTGTCTCCGGCGCGTCCCGCCGGCCACCTGGAAAGATTGCCAAGGCCCTCAATCCGGAAAACAAATCCTCCAAGATGTTCCAAGGTGGCCTCCAAGATGGCCACGTCGGCCCAAGATGGCCTCCGAGATGGCCTCCAAGACGGCCCAAGAGAGGAGGAGATGCCTCCAAGTCCGCCCAAGAAACCGCCAAGACGGCGACGGCCCAAGAGGTGCCCGAGAGGCCTCCAAGACGGCCAAAGAGGCCTCCGAGAGGTCCTCCAGGAGGGCCCCAAGAGGCTAAAATCATTGATTTTGGTTTTCGTACTTGCTCCTTTTCGGCTTTCCGACGACCCAAGACGGCCCAACACGCTCCCCAGATCGCCCCCAGAGCGCCCAAGAGGCCTGCAAGATGGCCTCAGGACTGCCCAAGAGGCCCCCAAGACGGCCCCAAGAGGGCCCCAAGAGGGCCCCAAGAGGCCTCCAAGACGCCCAAGATGGCCTCTACGACGGCCCTGGAGCACCCCAAGAGGGCGCCCAGTCGGCCCAGAGAGGCCCCCCAAACGGCTTCCGACGGCGTCAGACGGGCCAGGAGCCCACCAAGATGGCCGAAGTTGGCTCGAAGTTGGCCCAAGACGGCCCAAGAGGCCTCCAAGAGGGCCTCCAGGAAGGCCAGAAAAGGCCAAAAGCACTGATGTTCCTTAGGTTTTGGAAGGATTTTGGCATGTGCTTCTTTTCGGCCTTCCGACGGCCAGAGACGGCCCAAGAGCCCCCAAAGATCGCCCAAGAGGCCTCCAAGATGGCCCCAGAACGGCTCAAGAGGCCCCCAAGACGGCCTCAAGAGACCCCCAAGACGGCCCAGGAGGCCTTTAAGACGCCCAAGATGGCCTCCAAGACGGCCCTGGAGCATTCCAAGAGGGCCCCAAGTCGGCCCAGAGGGCCCCCCAAATGGCTTCCGACGGCGTCAGACGGGCCAGGAGCCCACAAAGATTGCCGAAGTTGGTCCTGAGATGGCCCAAGACATCCCAAGAGGCCTCCAAGAGGGCCTCCAGGAAAGCCCGAAAAAAGCCCAAATCATTGATTTCCCATGAGTTTTTGAAGGATCGTAGCATTTGCTTTTTGTTCTGCCTTCCGATGGCCCGAGACGGCCCAAGTGCCCCCAAAGATCGCCCAAGAGGCCCAAGACGACCCAAAGAGGCTCCCAAGACGGCCCAAGAGCCCTCCAAGCAGTCCTCCAAGAAGGCCCGAAAACGTCAAAATGGCCTCCAGACGGCCAAGATGACCTTCAAGATGCCCACGTGTTCCCCGAAGGCTTTCCAAACCAATTCGGGGAACACGTCGTCCGATAGCTTGGCAGGTCTGGCCTCAACGTTCGGCCACATAGGCGCTTCCAAAAAGGCAGTGGGCGGCGGTGATTCACCGTAGGCGTCTTCGATACGTAGCACCCCGCAGTTGCGGATAAGAATGACGGGGGCGGCAAGGACAACGCCAGTCTGCGAGGCTCTGAAGAAGCCCGCCGCAGGCGCCTAACTTGTACAACTTATGCAGTGAGCCCGCCGCAGGCGCCAATTTTTTGGTTAAAACAATGTGGGTGGATCGCGGGGTGGGTCGCGGGTGAGTCGCGGGTGGGTCGCGGGTGGGTCGCGGGCCGGGTCGCGGGTGGGTCGCGGGTGGGTCGCGTATGGGTCGCGGGTGGGTCGCGGGTGGGTCGCGGGCGGGGTCGCGGGGTGGGTCGCGGGGTGGGTCGCGGGGTGGGTCGCGGGGTGGGTCGCAAATGGGTCGCGGGGTGGGTTGCGGGTTGGGTCGCGGGTGGGTCGCGGGCGGGTCACGGGTTATGTTGCTCCCGTCGTACTTAAAGACCGCATCCCAGAAATCATTTCGAGCACCCCGAAAAATGTCGAAAGAATGTCGAAAGAGTGTCAAAAGAGTGTCGAAACAATGTCGGGCGAGTGTCGCCCAAGTCCCGACACCTGAAACCCCTGGAGTTTGGGTATTTTTTGTGCTCGACATTCTTTCTGGTGATCAAGATTAAAGTAGGTTGGAACATCATAAGTCACGGGGTGGGTCGCGGGGTGGGTCGCGGGTGGGTCGCGGGGTGGGTCGCGGGGTGGGTCGCGGGGTGGATCGCGGGGTGGGTCGCGGGGTGGGTCGCGGGCGGGTCGCGGGGGGGACGACGACAACAACAACAAGCATAATCCCCACCACTATCCCCACTTCAGCCACGCACCCAAGGACAATGAAGGACCGCTCGGCCCCCTCACTCTGACATTCCCACGTCTTCCGCCTCCTCCTCCTCCTCCTCCTCCTCTCCTCCTCGCTCTCCTCCTCCTCCTCCTCCTCTCTGCTCCCTCCTCCCCTTCCGCATTATCGTCCTACACCTCCACCCACCCTGCTCGTCCACCAACTCCTCGTCCCGCTCGTCGTCGTCATCGTCATCCTGGGAGCCTTATCCTCTTATCCGCCTCCTACTCTTCCTCCTTCTCCCCGTCCTCACGCTCCTCCGAATCAGTATGGTCGTCACTGTGGCTCGTCCATCTCAACTCATTATCCTCCTTCTCCTACTCCTCCTCCTCCTCCTCCTCCTCCTGCTCCTCGCCGTCTCCCCTGCCCTCCACTCCATCATTCCCTCCGCTCCCCTCAGGCGCTCAGTCGCAGTGCACGTTCACGCCATGGTCGGTGCAATCCTTGGGGCGGCAGGTGGTCGGGACCGCGGTGTCCGGGAAACAGTTGGAGCTGCAGAAGTTGCTGAACGCCTGCCCGGAAGGCGCGCACGAAACGTCAACCTACACAGAGCCGGGCCCAGCCTGAGGGGGAACGGCAAGGCAGTCTGGCCGAGGTTAAGTCGGGCGTGTCCCCTACACGGGGATTTTGGGCGAAAATGCCCCCCGAATCTTCAAACATAGTCAAAAAATCGTCCTCAGACTATATTTTGACTATTTTTGAATATTCCCCCTGTAGAGGGACAGGCCCGACTTCAGGCCGAGGGGGGGGGAGGACGTGGAGATACATCGCCGGTAGATTGGCGATGGGCCCGCGATAGCGAGGTCGCAGGCTCCTGGGAGGGGCGTGCTCGTGGGCCCCATTAGGGGGCCACATGCGAACTCTACCCCGACCCCGACCCCCCACGATTTCCGAGGGGGAGGCTGGGGCCACATGCGAAGTGAACCCCACCCACCCTCCCCCCTCCCCCTCCCCCTCCCCCTCCCCCTCCCCCTCCCCCTCCCCCTCCCCCTCCCCCCCTCCTCCTCCTCCTCCTCCTCCTCCTCCTCCTCCCTCCTCCTCCTCCTCCTCCTCCTCCTCCTCCTCCTCCTCCCCCTCCTCCTCCAACCTCCTCCTCCTCCTCCTCCCCCTCCCCGTCAGAACTCGTGGGGGGTAGGGGCAGGGTCCGCCTGTGGCCCTCCTGCCCCCGCGGCGATGGATGGGCGCCTGGGGATCGATGGCCTCCCCCCGGGGAGCCCCTCCTCCCCTCGCGTGGCCCCGGCAGTCTTCGGGCCGTGACTCGGGCCTCGGGAGGGACGACCTTGGCATCAGGTCGGGCCTGTCCCCCTACAGGGGGGTTCTGGACGACAGAATAAGGAAAAGGCCCCAACGATGCACAACAGATGGTCAAACATACACAAAACATCCTCCCCCACCTATTTTTTGCGCTGTCTTTGCACCTCCCCCCATCCGGAGGGACAGGCCCGACGTAACCCTCCCTGGCACCCCCAGAGCGCTCCCGGCGAGGCGCAGCCGCTGAAAATTCACGCCGAGGCTGGCAAGCCGCCGAGAACCTACGACAGCGCCCGACAAACCTCTGGGATCTCTCGAAGGCCCGAGACGTCCTCCCCCTCGGCTGGAGACCGACGCGTCCTCCTCCCCCAGAGCCCTCCTGCCCTCCTGCCTGCCGTCTCTGCCCGGCCCCCTCCTCCGCCGGCCCGCCCGCCGCGCAGGCTCCGGCTGCCCGCCTGCGCGCTCGTCGTCTGCCTGCCCCTCCCCTCCCCTCGGGCGGGCGGGGGTGACGCAAAGGGGGGCTGAAGAGAAGGGTCCTACTTTTTTGTTGGAGAGAAGGGCCCTATAGGAGCCCTTGTAAAGTCCCCTTGTGGAGCCGGCGGGGGCCCAAAGGGGGGCCCTAAAGGGCACCTTTATCGCCCTTTTCCTCACCCCCCGTTTGCGCCCCCCCCTGATGATGCTGATGACGATGCTGATGACGATGATGACGATGATGACGATGACGATGCTGATGACGATGATGACGATGATGACGATGATGACGATGATGAAGATGATGATGATGATGCTGATGATGCTGATGATGCTGATGATGCTGATGATGCTGATGATGCTGATGATGCTGATGATGCTGATGCTGATGCTGATGCTGATGCTGATGCTGGTGATGATGATGATGATGATGATGATGATGATGATGATGATGATGATGATGATGATGATGATGATGATGATGATGATGATGATGATGTGGATGTTGATGATGCTGCTGCTGCTGATGATGCTGCTGACGATGATGATCCTCTTCATCATCCTCCATCACCACCCACCCGATCCTCTTCCCCCTCCGCTAGGCAGCACAGCCTGCCCGGGACAAGTGTGGCAGCGCGTATGCAGGGGCCCATGGGGCACACAAATGAACACACACACACACACACTCATACCAGGATCCCCCCTATGCTTCCCCATCTCCTCTTGATCCTCAACTCCCCCCCCCCCTCCCATATTTTTGTCCCCCTCCCCTGGGACTCGACGTCTCGCTGTGCCTGCGCGCTTCTGCCCCCTCCTGCGCGCACGGGGCTCCCCTCCCCCGCTGACCTCGGGCCGCAGCCTCGACGCCTCCGCCCTCCGCCCAGCGGGGCGAGGCCACGGCACCCCCGTCGCGGCGCTCCCGCGCGGGAGGCCGCGGCCGCGGGAGGGCACCCCTCGCGGCGCTGGCACGCCGCCCGGGGGGCTGACAGAAACGCTCGAAGACCTCCAGGGGAACGAAAAAGTACATAAACATTGGACACATAGAACTTACGAACAACATGAAATTACGAAACGAAAACATAAACATAAAAACTCGGAGGTCCGCGCGGATCTCTCGGATCCGCGCTGGGGCCCCCCGGCGGCGCCTCCGGCGCCGCCCCTGGCGCGCTCCGCGCGCCAGGGAGCTGGGTCCAGCGCGGATCCGAGAAATCCGCGCGGACCTCCGAGTTTTTATGTTTATGTCATTCTTCGTTCCCCTGACCCTGCGGCGCTGGCACGCCGCCAGGGGGCTGACAGAAACGCTCGAAGACCTCAGCCCTCGAGGCTGCTTTCGGCACCTCCCGTAGTCCACCCGTCGATCGGAGGCAGAAGTTAGGCTACCGAGGAACTCCACATGCTGATACCGTGTCTGGCGTGATGATGCAGGCCTCGGGAAAAATAGCGAACACTCATGCCACACCAACCTGTCAACGCCTCCCCCTCCCTGCCATGTTCAAAGATGGCGGTGGGTCTGATGAGTTCCACCTCACCGCAGTCTCCCCCGCGCGTGCCAACTTCGAAAAGGGGGGAAGGGGGGGTGTTTACTAATTGTTTCCCTTTACCGTATCTGACATGCAACTTGTCGGCGCCTCCTGGAGCCCACCCGTCGGCCGGAGGCAGACATGAGTGAACACGCGGCCCGAGAAGACTGCGCTTAAGTCGGGCGTGTCCCCCTACAGGGGGATTTTCGACGAAAAAAAGAATCTCAAAAAATACCCCAAAATGGTAAACAAATACTCGGAAAGTAGTCCCCAGACTATGTTTTGACTATTTCGGAATATTTTTGTGTATTTTTATTTTTCGTCGAAGATCCCTCTGTAGAGGGACACGCCCGACTTAAGACTGCGTTCTCCAGCCCTCCCAGAGAACAGCGGAGCACAGCACAGAAGCAGATCGGCGCTTGCAGTAGGAAGGCGCCCGAACAACGACCGGCGCGTACCCCCATTTAACGTTGCCCTGGGCGGCCCATCTTCGGCCATGGATGGCCCAGGTCAGGATCGGCATCCAGCGGAGAGGCCATGCCCACAAGAGACCTCCCACAGGAAACCCAACCCCGAGACCCGGCGTGGGAACGCCGCGCTTCCCATGGCAAAAACATCGAAATCCCCGAAAACCCGGGGCACCCTGGAGGCAAGCAGGGCGTCTCTTGGCATGGGTCTCCACTGCAGCTCCGCGGATGGTCGGCCTCCCCTCGGCGCGCCTGCTTCTGGGCCCCAAGCGTGTCGCCCTCCGTGCAGAACACCGCGAGGCACACGTCGGTCTTGGTCTGGCTGTGCAGGGGCCCGACGGGGGCGGTGCACGCCTTCGGGGAGGAAGGCACAACGGGGTACGCTCGCACAGAGCGTGCAGAGAGAGAAGGGAGCGGCGTGCGCATTCGAGGAGGAGGAGGATGGGGAGGGGGATGAGGGAGAGGTAGGAAGGAGGGGGATAAGAGAGAGAGGAGGAGGGGGAGAGGAGGAGCAGGACTAATGTAAACCCAAAACTCATCAACGACGATGGAATGAACCCTCCCTCCAAGCTCCCTCTTCATCGGCCCCTACACGGAGTCATTTCCACTGAGGGAAGTGCCCCGTTGGGAAACAACCGTTTGACGATCCTGAAACCTGCCAAAAGCCATTCTCGGGACTTCAAAGCCACGAATCAGTCGTGCCAAAACACCATTCCTGGGACTTCGACACCGCAACTGGTGCACCCTGACAACCCTGAATCGCTCCCCAACACAATTCTGGGTACGTTAACCGTGGGAACCCGTGAAACTCATACAATTGTTTGGTTCAGGCGAAGATGCGCCGGCCTGAGGCCAGAACCACATGTTGAAAAGGAACCTCAATCCGCGAAACCCTTGCAACTGTCAACAACGAATCTGCACGGCGCTAAGGCGAGAACCACATGTTGAAAACGGCCCGCCCTCAATCCGTGAAGCTCTTGCAAATTTCAAGAACAAGCTTGCGCGGAGCTAAGGCGAGAATGCCATCTTGAAAACGACCCGCCCTCAATGCGTGAAACTCTGGCCATCTTATTCAGCGAATGTGCGCGGCGCTAGGGCGAGTGCCACACTTTAGAAGCAGGTCGCCCTCCATCTGTGAAACTGCTGCCAAATTCTAAGGTTCAGACTCATCAGTGGTAAGAAAATTTCAGGCGAAGCGCCCGGCCCGCCCTTCCGACCAGCCTCGGGGTGCGACAAGGAGAAATCACTGAGAAGGAGAAAGAATTCAGGAGGAGGGAGGATGCGAACCGAGGAGCAGGGCTGAACCTAAACGGTGTTTTTCGTTTTAGTTGTGTTTTCGTCTTCCCTCGTTTTGTTCCCCACATGCTTAGTGGGGTTCTGGTTTTCTTCCTTGCCGCGCCGCACCCGCGACACACACCTCACTCTTCGTACAGCACAGCACAGCACAGCACATCACAGCACAGCACAGCACAGCACAGCTCAGCTCAGCTCAGCACAGCACAAGCACAGCACAGCACTGCTCAGCATAGCTCAGCACAGCTCAGCTCAGCTCAGCTCAGCTCAGCACAGCTCAGCTCAGCTCAGCACAGCACAGCACAGCACAGCACTGCTCAGCATAGCTCAGCACAGCTCAGCTCAGCTCAGCACAGCACACACAGCTCAGCACAGCACAGCACAACACAGCACAGTACAGCACAGCACAGCACAGCACTGCTCAGCACAGCTCAGCACAGCTCAGCTCAGCTAAGCACATCACAGCTCAGCTCGGTCGTCCAGGCCGTAGCAGGCGTGGCACTTTCTCGACACCATAGGGGGTGCGCAAGGGGTGGTCCCCCTATCCGCGCCGGTCGTCCAGGCCGTAGCAGACGTGGCAGCTTCTCGACGCCATAGTGGGTGCGCACGGGGTGGTCCCCCTATCCGCGCCGGTCGTCCAGGCCGCAGCAGGCGTGGCAATTTCTCGACACCATAGGGGGTGCGCAGGGGGTGGTCCCCCTATCCGCGCCGGTCGTCCAGGCCGTAGCAGGCGTGGCAGTTTCTCGACGCCATAGTGGGTGCGCACGGGGTGGTCCCCCTATCCGCGCCGGTCGTCCAGGCCGTAGCAGGCGTGGCAGTTTCTCGACACCATAGGGGGTGCGCACGGGGTGGTCCCCCTATCCGCGCCGGTCGTCCAGGCCGTAGCAAGGCGTGGCAGTTTCTCGACACCATAGGGGGTGCGCAGGGGGTGGTCCCCCTATCCGAGACGGTCGTCCAGGCCGTAGCAGGCGTGGCACTTTCTCGACACCATAAGGGGTGCGCACGGGGTGGTCCCCCTATCCGCGCCGGTCGTCCAGGCGTAGCTAGGCGTGGCACTTTCTCGACCACCATAGGGGGTGCGCCACGGGGGTGGTCCCCTAATCCGCGCCGGTCCCGTTCCAGGCGTAGCAAGCGTGGCAGTTTCTCGGCGCCATAGTGGGTGCGCAGGGGGTGGTCCCCCTATCCGCGCCGGTCGTCCAGGACGCAGCAGGCGTGGCAGTTTCTCGACACCATAAGGGGTGCGCACGGGGTGGTCCCCCTATCCGCGCCGGTCGTCCAGGCCGTAGCAGGCGTGGCAGTTTCTCGACGCCTTAGTGGGTGCGCACGGGGTGGTCCCCCTATCCGCGCTGGTCGTCCAGGCCGTAGCAGGCGTGGCACTTTCTCGACGCCGTAGTGGGTGCGCACGGGGTGGTCCCCCTATCCGCGCCGGTCGTCCAGGCCGTAGCGGAGGCGTGGGCAGTATCTCCGCTCTCCGACACCACGGGGGTGCGCAGGGGGTGGTCCCCTATCCGCGCCGGTCGTCCAGGGCATAGCAGGCGTGGCACTTTCTCGACGCCATAGTGGGTGCGCACGGGGTGGTCCCCCTATCCGCGCCGGTCGTCCAGGCCGTAGCAGGCGTGGCACTTTCTCGACGCCCGTAGGGGGTGCGCAGGGGGTGGTCCCCCTATCCGCGCCGGTCGTCCAGGCCGTAGCAGGCGTGGCAGTTTCTCGACGCCATAGTGGGTGTCGTAGGCCGGGGTGGTCCCCCTATCCGCGCCGGTCGTCCAGGCCGTAGCAGGCGTGGCAGTTTCTCGATACCATAGGGGGTGCGCACGGGGTGGTCCCCCTATCCGCGCCGGTCGTCCAGGGCAGAGCAGGCGTGGCACTTTCTCGACACTTAGGGGGTGCGCAGGGGGTGGTCCCTGAGCGCGGCCGCTATCCGAGACGGTCGTCCAGGGCATAGTAGGCGTGCCACTTTCTCGATTCCATAGGGGGTGCGCAGGGGATGGTCCCTGAGCGCGGCCGCTATCCGAGACGGTCGTCCAGGGCATAGTAGGCGTGGCACCTTCTCGATTCCATAGGGGGTGCGCAGGGGGTGGTCCCCGAGCGCGGCCGCTATTCGAGACGGTCGTCCAGGGCATAGCAGGTGTGGCACTTTCTCGACACCATAGGGGGTGCGCAGGGGTTGGTCCCTCACCGCGGCCGCTATGCACGACGGTCGTCCAGGGCATAGCAGGTTTCGGCTATCATCACTCCAGCCATAATATAAGTATGTGAGGTTCCTCGGCAGCGTAATCTTCAACCCGCCTTTGCCGCAAAACGGAGTCGAAACGAAGACGGCCCACGGAATCACCAAAACAAAAAGTTTAGGTCCAGCCCTGCCGAGGAGAAGGTGGAAGGAAAGGCAGGAGGATGGAGGGAGAACGGAGATGGGGACAGGGAGGAGCTTCCTCCCGCGAGAGTTGTGCGCGCCTTATCGCCCCCGTCCACTGGCGCGCAGCAGTCGCAGTGGCACTGGCCCGGGCTGAACTTGGATGCGCTCGCGGCGCCCAAAGACGACAGGCTCAGGAGGGCCACGAAGAGCGCGAAGGCCTGCATTGGCTCGGGTTTTGCTGGCCCGCACAGATGGTCGGTGCGGCGTGCAGGGGCACAGTGCCTGGGCCGAAACTGCTCCCGGCAGCGAGATCAACCATGAAGGTGCGACGACGGTGGAAGCAAGGGCCCTGCGGCGTCGAAACGGACACTTTGATGGCGCTGGGAGGGCGAAGAGGATGGCAGGTACCTTGTGGAAACGCGCTCTGAAGAACGGCACCGAGGATACGACGACGTGGAGAGGTGCGAGGAGCGAGGTGACAAGGAAGACGAGGGATGACCGATGCGGAAGAAGGGATGGGAGGGAGGCTCCAGCAGCTAGAGGTGGGGGCGGAACGGGCGTTAAGTCGGGCGTGTCCCCCTACAGGGGGACCTTCGACGAAAAAAAAAATACTAAAACCATACCCCAAAATTAAAATAGTCAAAACATGTAATAAAAAAGAGTCCCCAGACTATGTTTGGACTATTTTTGAATATGCTCCCTGTAGAGGGACAGGCCCGACTTAGAACTGGCGGGTGCTGCACACGTTGGCGCGCGGCGGCATCGTCACAGCACCTGTTCGCCCGCCCCGGGAGGGGAGGAGGCGGACGGAAAGGGGGGATGGCGGCGAGCCAGATGCGCTCGCGCCACACCACAATAAAAAAATGATAATGAAGCAGGGCTATAAGGAAGTGTAGGTTTCCAATTCAGATGTTTATTATCAATTTACCATCGCACGTATACGGTAACGGTTTCACCGGCTATGGTACCTACCCCTCCCGCTCATCGCTTCCCATTGCGCTGTATTTTCTCTATGCGCTAACGGGTGTCACAGCGGACCTGGAACCCTCAAAAGGACCCCATCTGAAAACGGGAGCCGCGCGGCGCGGTGGAGGAACGGGAGTGGCGGGTGCGCAGGAGGACGAGCAGGAGGAAGAGGACGAGGGAGTAGGAGCACGAAGAGGACCTGCAGCAGCAGGAGCAGGAGAGACGGGAGGAGCAGGAGACTCAGGAGACTCTGCCTGATCGCGTGGCGATATATGGATCTCATGAAGTCCGCCTGCACCTACTGTTAGGTCGGGCGTGCCCTCCTACAGGCGGTATTTGGACGACATGAAAAATGGACAACAAAGATTCAAAAATGATAAACACAGTCGAAAAATCGTCCCCAGACTATTCTTGACTAATTTTGAGTACTCCTCCTGTAGAGGACATACCCGACTTAAGCCTACTGGCGGTGCTTGCTCCTCTGGGCTTGCCCAGCTCCGCCGAGAGCTTCGGGGCCGAGAATACTCACGCCCCGTGGCTGGTTGGGAGCCTTGCAACACTCTGACAAGTTCCCAATCTCGGGGGCTGCTTACAGGGCAATTGTTAATACATAGGATGGTTTATATTTGATGTTTAATACATGATTAATGCATGGATGAATTTATGCATGAACTCATCGTTGTTTGAATGTTATATCCGTGCATGTTTAATACATGATCCGCACGCGGAATATGTATTAAAAACGGCACTGTAGGGTACCCCTGGCCCAAGGTGCCCCCAGCATGTCGCTCCATGTTTGACCCCCTGGGGCCTTCTGGGCCTCGTGATGGGGTGCTCTGGAGGCCGTGCGGGCCTCCCTGGGAGTCCTGGGGGCACCTTGAGTCACCTCTAGCAACGCCCGACAATCTTGTGAGAGACGTCCATCCCGCACTGCTGCGAACGGCGGGGAGAGGGGTCGGAATCTGCGGTCGAATCGAATTGGAATCGGAGTCCATCGAAATCGAAGCGAATTGAGCCAGAGGAATCGACAGTGAGCGTTTTCTTATTCGGCGTTTCGACATTGGGCCAAGGGAGGGGAGGGGGGGGTGTCTGGCTCTGGACCTCTGCTTAATGCTCCTGCTTGCAGCAGTGCGTCCCAGAGGGGGAAAGACTCCACCTGCTTGAAGCAGGCGCCCCAAGAACAGCCAAGATCTGCTCCATGGGGGGGTGGGGGAGGGGGTGTGAGGGCCCGCGCCGATCGGCAAACCAGTGAACAAGAGACGATCACAAATGAGCCCAGGAAGGTGGCTACGACGACGAGGAGCCCGCGGAGCTAGAATTAGGTCGGGCCTGTCCTCCTACAGGGGGATGTTGGATGAGAAATAATAAATACTCAAACAATACCCCCAAATAGTCAAACATACTGGAAGAATCGTCACCAAGCTATTCTTTGGAACATTCGGAAACGTTCCTCCTGCAGAGGGACAAGCCCAGCTGAATCGGGGATCTTCTGACCCGGGTCAATCCAGACCCTGGTCAGCAGGGAACCAAAAAAGTGCAGTGCAAGCACAAAAAACTGCAACGCAAGTCTTCGCAAACCCGGGTCAGCCAATGTGCGCGGCCGCCTCGCGGCCACGAGCGGCTCCCCAACCCGGGTCAGCCAAAGGGGGTCTTCGCAAGATCCTGCAAGATCTGGCGCTCTGGCTGATCCCCGTTTACATTGACCCAGAGAAGGAGGGAGGAGGAGGAGGAGGAGGAGGAGGAGGAGGAGGAGGAGGAGG